CGCCCATTCCGGCTCTTACTTTGCCTTTCTTTTCGACGCCCTTTTTTTTCCAGAGCACCTCCACCTCCACTTCCACTTCCATTACCACCTCCACCTCGAACCTCCTGCCTTCCGTTCCCGGAGGCCTGCAAAATAACCGGGTTAATCGTCGCCACGTTGTCGTCGACGGGCAGAACAAATGATTCTTTTTCGTTTGTGGGTCAACTGCAATTTTTGCCATTAAAATAATTATTTGATTGCCATTTTGCTTTTAAATGTCGTGAATAATGTACATTTACCGAGGGAGCGGAAAGCAACTAAGTAAATGAAAATAATCAATATAGTTTGATTATATATCTCGCAGTGATTGTTTTATCATTACTATTTGATTATTGAGATTACAAGTTTAATTTTCTCGCCTCCAATTAACACTTGTATTCGGAAGTATGGAAAACCTCCAGAACATAATTACCTAAGTACCTATTACCTAAGTTAAATTATCATATTTTTTTCTCAGTATTTCCCACACTTCTTAAGTAATAAAAGATTTGCACAATCTAGAAATTACTTTAATTCCTGCTTAATAAATCTTTCTTCAAAATTTCTGATCAATAAATCACCAGGCCAATTCAATTGGCTTATCTTAAAGAGTGATTTTGAGTACTTTGTCCAACATTCCATGCATAAACTATCGATTTCCGCTTATCAGTCGAATTATTTCTTATCGCTAGCCTGGTCGTCTTTGTTTTTGGGGCTTAGTAACCCACATAAACACCACCGAATCTGAAACTGACTCGAAATCCCAGTTGTCCGGGGGCAATTGGGCGGAGAATACCCGTTCAGTGCAACTGGAGCTGGAGAGGCCAATTAAACCACCTGACCTAGAATATTTGTAGCCCAGTTTCACCAGCCAGCTGAGAGTGCATATGTTTTACATGCCACCGCACATTTACATTCACATTCATATATAGACCAGACCCCATCCGCACTAACAAACTAACAAATTCGTACTTTGAATCAGTCGACTGTGAGCTGCATGTTAAATGGTTTGAATTAATTGCGTAGGCCACGCATGTCACGTGCTCTTCACATACGACTGACTGACTGACTGTATATATATATTAAGTACGATATATGATATACCTCCCCCTTCCACCCAAAAAGTCCTTGAGCCAAGCCAAGCCGAGCCGGAAATTTAAAATAAACATTCCAAATTTCCTTTTAGATTTCTTGCTGCACTTTGTTGCTTTATACATTTTTATATACATTTTTGTAGAGCACATCACGTACTTATAGAGCCAAGGCCAAGTTACAAAGACCAATGTCGGGCTAAAATTAAATTCCAAATGTCTTTAAGGGGAAATATTTAAGGCAGGCGCCAATGAAGTTAAATGCTCTTTAAATAATATGACAAAATTATCTACAGTAGATTTTTTTAAAAGCCAACATGCCTCTAAATAAATTTTATAAATTAATATTATTGCTTGTTTATTTGCTGTTAGTAATGGTAATTAAGATATGTCACTTGTCTAATAGAAGATTACAAATAAACTTTTTTTTTTATTTACAATTTTAATTTATTTTGAGATTAAAATAATATACTTATCTTAATTATTATGAACACAAATTAAGAGGAGGATTATATCATCATTAAACTTTATGTTTATAATAAAATACCATTTTTCTCCACTCTTAAAGACATTCTATTCAAATTACCATCGTTTAAGGTAGCTTTTGTAACCAAGGGCTTTAAAATCAGCTACGACGTGCAACCCGTATTTTAAGCGCTCTTCAATCTCTTTTGATGGCCTGTGACAACACACAGCCCGCCGTAAATGGCAAAATATTTGGTCAGCCAACAGCCGCGAAAGAGACACTGATATTTCATCAATGGCCTGGCCATATAGTTAGTTGTTAGTTTCGGGGACCTGTCCATCCATCCATTTCATTTATGCGGATCACGTTCGCCTATCGCGGAGTACTGCCTGCTGGATGGACGGGGCTTAAGAGCTCTCCGGGCATTGGGTATATCTACTATCAGCTGCAAGTGACATATTTTAAGCCACGCCAGTTGACCACTTTGTGTTGGCCAGGTTCCTATCTGTGATTTTGTACCTGTGGGTATACAAAAAATGCCCGTGGAAAACGGGTAAAGGCCAGGTAGGGCCATTTGGCCCAGGCATTCAAGCAGTGCTTATTCTTGTGTGAACAGACACAGAGGTTTTCCGCACGCTCCTACAAAGTATTATTTATATATTTTCCTTTATTAGCATTTTCTTTGGATTCGAATTCCATTCGGCCTCATGTAAGTTGTGATTCAGCTCATTTCCTTTCATTGCTCATTGTTGATTCTAGATTAATTCGCTTGGTGCGCACTGCACTTGTTCAATTGTATCATTTGCTTAAAGATCGTGGGTGAATGTTATTGTATATCTATTATACACTGTGAAAAGTGATAGAAAGAAAGAGAAATCATATTTTATTAGTAATTCGTTTTAATGAAATATCAAAATAATATTATATTGGTCTTAATATCTTTTTTGTGATTACTCAAAAATATTTAATAACAATTTTCAATTAATGGAGTAATTGTGCTTTAAAAACTGTTCTAACAAATGTTAAAAGTTTAGTAAAAAGTGTAAAAATTAGTTGATTTATATAATAATAAATAAAAATTTATTCCGTTTTTTCTATGAATGTTCTATTTATCCAAGCAGAACCGCCGAGAGTCTAGACCCTGAAAGATATTCGATATTGTTGTGTTTTCCAGCCAACTCAATTCTGGAATTTAGCTAGTTTTTTTTTCTCGAGTGTCGGGTTGAGTGCACCCAAAGGGAAAGACGTAATCAAATACAAATGCCGCCTGTAAATATTTGGCTAGCTCACAAAGTAGCCTATATTGTATGCACCGATAACTCCTGGTCTCGAGTGCTCATCCCGTCGGTTCCCAAACCAAAACCCACTCCCTTTTGCCTTTTCCGACATCCAGTTCATCCGATAAGCCGCGGATTGTTTGCTTTTTGCGCACAGGCTGCTGCCAAATAAATATAAAAAACCGCCCGCCAACGGCTTATCAGCCGTGTTTATCTAGTTTAGTCATATGTACTATGGTCTATATAAATGCTATTCGCATATGGAGAAGATAGATGTAAAAACGTGAAAACCCAGAAGATCGGGTTGTGTGTTGCGGTACGCATTTATTGGCATTACTGCGCACGGTACCCATGCGATAGGATCGCTTTTCGGGGGACTAGGGGTTTGGTTCTAGATGGGGTGGTGCGGCGTAGATAAAAATCAAAATGCAAAAAGCCCCTTTGTTTTTGGCGTCTCGTGTGCCGAGCATTCTAAAAGTCGGGGTGGATGGGAGGGGCTGGTCGAGATAACAGCAACACGAGGAGATTGTGTAATCGCTTTGTTAGCGATTGTTAGGCGGGAATATGCTGGTGGCGATGCAGATTCCCGAACAGTAACGACTGACTAGTAGGGAATACCAAAAATATTTTTTATAGGAAAGAAGAAACTGTAACTGTAAAAATAAACAGCGTTTCTACTTAGTTTCTCTTTGAGATTTTTATCCATTCTGCTTTACACTACCAACAAATTTTTTTTTTTAATTTTATCTCATATTTTGTAAGTTAAACTGTATTAAGAAAAACACATTTAATAGTTATATCTATAAACTTAAACTTTAAACAGCGCTTATACTTAGTTACTTTTGAAATTCTTACAAAATGTTTTTTTTTCACCCTACAAACAATTTTTTTTTTATTTCATCGTATTTTAAAAGCTCAATCGCAGCAAGCTTTCTTTATATAAAATTGGCTGACTAAATATACCTATGAATATTATTTTCAGCATTTGAGTCAGCTTAGAAGCATCTGGAATAGAGTATAAAATAGATTCATTCATAATGTTTAAATACTATTTACTTTTTGGTAGACGTCAATTCCTTGGCTACATAGTTGCTTGGCCAACGGGCCATAGTGGTTGGGTTTTTAGCCGAAAATGCAAATTGTTTTCTGTCGCCACAGCAGCAGAGGGAAAATAACGAAAAAGAAACGTCACCCTTCTGTATTTACCACCCCGTAAACCCCTAAAACCCCCATTTCGCCTGGCAACCGGTGGGGATTTCGATACACTTACATTCGTTGATGTCGATTCAGTTGAAAATGTTTTCTGTTTTTGTTTACACATCGCGTTCGATGGCTGGCAAGCCATTATGCCCGATCTAAAATAAAGCCAGACACAAGCTATTTAAGTTCTGGAGGAGCAGCCACAGTCCTCAGAAGTCTTCCCAACCGAAATGCAGTTCTTCGCGTGAGTTTGGAATATGTGAAAATCCCCTATCTATTCAACCGAAACTTGGACCATAAAAAATACAACTACAAGCCAAGCCCCTTTTTTTTCAGGCCCCCTTTATTCGGGGCTTATTTTCTCCTTATAAACGGGTCTCGCTTTCAATTAAATCTCGCTCCCTCATCGGGGCTCTAAAACTTTTGCCTAAACAAAAGGCTAAATGGAACTAAATGGAAAACTGTTCGAGCAGCAACAATGGAAAACAATTGAAAAACTCAATTTGTTGGTAATTTGTTTGGGCGTGCGTGTCTCAGTGCCTTTTTTTTTCTTTCTTTGTGCAATAACAATTTCAGAGCTTGGCATATTGCAGCCGATTTGTTGTCGGCATAAAAAGCAGTTGAATGAACCGAGAGAGCAAACTTTGATTGATATTTCGAAAGCCTTATTGGGGGAATATTGATGAGATGGTGGGGGATAAAATAACAGCCGAGCTTCTTCAAGTTCAATTTTGGGTTTTGTTGGTAAAAAAAAAAAGAGATGGTGGGGATATCTTTTTCATTTTCTATGGTTTCCATGACTCCAACTTTTTTATTGGAATATTTATTACTCGAAAAGTTCTAGAACTTTAACAACTTTTGTATTTTAGTTTTTCAATAGTTCATAATTACATCTTCGTAAAAATCTGAATTAATTATTAACGATTTCCATTATTTTCCCTCTTTCAGCTTCTCCAAAATGGCCAAGTACTCGGGCAAAAAATGCCGGCTGCTCTCGATGATGTGGCTGACGGCGTTCTTCTTCTTCGTGGAAATCATTGTGGGCTATGTGACCAATTCGATGGCTCTGGTGGCGGATAGTTTCCACATGCTGGGCGACATTGCCGCTTTGGTCATATCTTTTCTGTCCGTGAAGGTAAGTCCCTGTCGTCTGGCGAGGAATATAACTCATATCACTCACGTAAACTTCCCTATCTCGACAGATGTCACCGAAAAAGTGGTCGAAGAACACTTTCGGCTGGGCCAGAGCAGAGGTTTTGGGCGCCCTGGTCAATGCTGTTTTCCTGGTGGCCCTGTGCTTCAGCATCACCATCGAGGCCTGCAAGAGGTGAGTTTATAAAGATATACAAATTAAGCAAATTTCTTGGGAATAGCGTGGTATTTATGGCTTAAAAAGTATTTTAAATGTACAAAATACTGTAAGCAAAAAATATCGTAACTGGTTAAAAATAAGTAATAAATAGATTTGTTACTTCTGTCTTAAAATGATTAAAAAAAGCTTTTATAAATCACTTGGAAAAATATTACAACCTAAACTTTTTTTTTGCTTATATGAGATTTCTAAAGCTTTTTAAAATTTTTTTAATGTTTATTAAATCAATGGGAATAAATAGCAAACGAAGCAAAATAAATATTCCTGTTCTATTTCTTAACCATTGTTTATTTTGAAACTCGGACTGTCAAGTAGCTTTGCCATCACTTTTATAAAGAAACAAACTTGACCAAATTAGCAAAACGAAATGTATAAATGATTGCTTAAGCAAGTATTTGTTTATCTTTTTGATAAAAGACGCAAACATTCCAAGATAGTGTGCCCTAGGTTTCCAAAAAAAACAAACTAACTATCTATTCTAATACCTATTGTTTTTTTTTTTTTTTAATTTTAAAAGGCAAGGTTTTTGGAAAACTTGATCTTATTCAATAAATTTTATATTGCATTCCCTTAACTCCTTGTCAACACTGCATAATTAATTTTGGGACTAATTACGGATCAACGATCCGCACCCAAAAACCAGACGCAAAACCCAGTTGTTCGGCGATCTGTGAGCAGTAAGCCGTATTACGAGCAGTAAGCAATAAGCTCGCCTTGGCATCGACATGTGTGTTAACGTGATTTGTTTAAATTTTTTTGAATCACTCGACTTGATTCCCGGCTGTGAGTTAATTTGTTGTGATTCGTTTTACTGCCACCTTTCCGTCTCTCTATATGTGCTTTGGGTTTTTGTGATTTTATACACTTTATTAATTTACATTCCGGACGCATTTTGCGCATATTTATCGAAAGCTTTACGAGGTGAGGCTGTTGCCAATAGCTACTGATACCCCGGACTACACTGTTAAAAAATTGGCTTGATTTATGGACTTGATTCAAAATAAACGGCCTTCAGAAAAGTCTAGTTGTTCAATCAGATTATTGATAACGTAATCATATATAGCTTTTATTTGAATTTCATTATATTGAACCCATATAGACTAGTCATGCATTAAGATGCCATATCATGTTAGTAAAGGCGATTAATTTCAATGAAATCATTGAGTGATTAAGCTCATAGACTAACTTAATGAGTGCGTTTAATTATTTATTAATAAAATTTATTATTTATTTAATTTATTACAGATTTATTGAGGAGGAACCGATTCACCAGCCCGAACTTTTGGTTATCGTGGGAGCTCTGGGACTTCTGGTAAATGTGATTGGACTGTGTCTTCTCTACGGTGAGTGCAAAAAATATAAATATCTACATAAAAAGCTATAGCTAAACCCTATCCACAGAGCACGGTGGTCACCATGGCCACTCGCATGGCGGTGGACTCACCCGGAACCACAGTCGCCTCACCGAGTTGGCCAATATGGACGAGGGCGAGGACGAGCAGAACGAGTATGCCTACGAGAAGCAGAAGGAGAAGCCGCCGGTGAAGAAGTCCAGCCACGGGCACAGCCACGATCCCGGCCAGATGAACATGCGCGGCGCCTTTCTGCACGTTCTCAGCGATGCCCTAGGCAGCATCATTGTGGTGATCAGTGCGGTGGTTGTGTGGAAGACGGAGTGGAAGTACCGGTACTACATGGATCCCGCCCTGTCTATTCTCCTGGTGGTGCTCATCCTGCACTCCGTGTGGCCGCTGCTGCGCGAGTCCGCCTTGATCCTGCTGCAAACGGTGCCCACGCACATCCAGGTGGACGCCATTCAGAAGAGGCTGCTGGAGAAGGTTGATGGCGTGCTGGCCGTGCACGAGTTTCATGTCTGGCAGCTGGCCGGTGATCGCATCATCGCCTCGGCACATATTAGGTATGATTTATCTACTAATTTGATTAGTAATTATTCGTGGAAAATGTGTACAAAGTATTACCCCTGATAAGAACTCTATCCTCAATCTAATCCACATTTCTTTAACCTTTCCAGGTGCCGCAATCTCTCGGAGTACATGAAGATTGCCGAGAAGGTGAAGGAGTTCTTCCACAACGAGGGCATCCACTCCACCACCATCCAGCCGGAGTTCAGCGAGATCGAGGGCTGCAACATGTCCGACGGCACATCCAGCATCAACATGAGCGGCTCCGACTGCTGCGCCCTGGACTGTCCCACCACGGATGAGGGATGTGTCAAGGCCACCTGCTGCCAGAACAACAACAAGGTAGTTAGCTTACCCTATATATATGTAAATGAAGTTATTATAATGAAATGTAAACCTTAAATTGCAGAACCAACTGCCCTCACCCACCAACTCGCCGTATTTGTGCCGCCAGCGAAATGCCGCCCGACAGGCCGGCGATGTGGAGGCTGGTTCCCTGCTGGAGGCCGCGGGAGGTGCCCCTGGCGGTGCCACCGCAGGAACGCCTGCGGTTGCGATAGGCGGGGCGACGTCAACGCCGAAGAGCGATTTGGTCTGACGACAGCCACAGCAGGCGCAACAACATGTACACTTTGCCACGACCAAAACGGAAACCACAACCGCCACAACAGCAGCAGCAGCAACATCAATACGTGATATAATGTACGAGCCGAGCGCCAACAACCAAGTGGCTTCCAGCGCACAGGCGGACGCAGGTGGTGGCAATCTCGGCCTGTCGTTGACCGCCCAGCGGCGACGGGAGCTTCAGCTGCAGGCCGAACAGCAGCAGTATCAGGAGCAGGTGTCACCACTGAGCACCAGGAATGGCGACGAGGTGGCCCTCTAAATTTAATAGGAGCCTAGTTTAACGTTAATTGTGCAGGCCGCTGCAATGGAGACTGGTCTGCCATGGTGCAGCGTTCGTGTTTTTAGTGTTTGTATCATTATTTGTTCTTAGTGGAATTTAGGCATAAATAACTGAGCTAGTTTAATTAAAGTAAAATCAAAACAGAAAGCAGAAACAACACGATTATCTAATAGTGCAGAGTGCAGAGTGCAGAGGACACACACAAAGTTTAAAGGAACACATATACTATATAGTATGTTAAACCTATTCGATTGTAGTTAATTGCATTAGTTTTTAAGTCGATAAGTGAGCCCAACCAACAGAGAATACATATGTACTACGTTTTTTACATTTTGAGAAAGTTTATATATACGTGAAATAAATTATTGTATTCAATAGTTAACTACGGATTACTGATTAGCAAATGACTAAAGACAGTTTACAAAATACCTAGGTATATACGCATGTGTGTTTGTGTATGGTTAGGCGTAGTCCCTTAATCTTAGTAGTTGTAATGCCTACATGTAAAAAAGAAGAATGTTTTTACCACAAACGAGAAACTAGTTTCTATTTAATTTTAATCGTACCGAACCTTAAAGTGACTATACATTTTTAATGCAAACATAATGTATTATTTTATGATCTGCATTCATTTTCACCTGTATTTGTTTGTAAATAAACGCCAAACATAATCAGTCCAAGCTAAATTACTTGAGATCATTTGGGAGGTCGCCGGGTTTTTGGAAACCTTTTTTTCGACCACAATCTTTAATCATCCAGATTATAAAAATCTGAAATTGATAAGTTCTTCGCACACTTTTGGTATGGAAAGAATGGTTTCAATGGATATAATATATCGGTACACAACCCAAGCAATCCTTAAAGTATGCTGACATTAAAGTAGTAATAATGCGTTGATATGTAACTCAGTACCAGTACAAGACATATCTATAATCGGATATTCTATGCTTACTTAGCTTATCTTATTCGATTTCACCACGATTGTCAGGTAGATCTGGACCCTATAAAAAGGCCTTCTTGGGCAGTTGCAAGTAGTTCGAAAGTAATTACTACTTCAGAATCAAGAAGAGCTTTAAAAGATGATGCAGATCAAATTCCTGTTTGCCTTCCTGGCTGTTTTGACCATCGTTGTCCTGACCGCCAATATGACTGATGCATCTGATTGCATGTCTGGAAAATTCACTGGACCCTGCTTCGCTTGGGATGGAGAACTTTGCCGACGCCTCTGCAAGGAAGAAGGACGAGTCAGTGGACATTGCAGTGCTGGATTGGCTTGTTGGTGTGAAGAATGTTAAATGAACTTGTGTAATATTGTGTGCAAAAAAAATAATAAATATATATAAATATCAGAGCTAAACAAATTATATATTTTTCTTATATCGAACTAAGTTAATACAAGTTCTTTTTTCCATAAAACTCCTCTTGGAATTTTTGTAATATTGGGACATAGGAATGACTGTGTATAATGAAGAAACAAATTAATTATTAACTAATTCAGTATGGGAATTGCAACAAAAAGCTGAAAAAAGATAACGCTTGTGATAACGAGTTTTTGACCCGCTATTCCGGGAGGCATATCAATCATAGTCTATTCTCCTGAAAGGCAGTGGCGAATGCAATCCAAAGGATGTTGAAACCCACTTTTGAAGACAACAGTATATTAGGAAAATATCTGAAGCCCAAAAGGGGTATGCCAAAAAATATATATATATAAATAAAATCTTTTATTATACCCGTTACTCGTAGAGTAAAAGGGTATACTAGATTCGTGCAAAAGTATGTAACAGCTAGAAGGAAGCGTTTCCGACCCCATAAAGTATATATATTCTTGATCAGGGTCACTAGCCGAGTCGATCTAGCCATGTCCGTCTGTCCGTCTGTCCGTCTGTCCGTCTGTCCGTCTGTCTGTCTGTATGAACGCTGAGATCTCAGAAACTACAAAAGCAAGAAGGTTGAGATTTCCCACACATATTCTTTGGCTTCCTACGCAGCGCAAGTTTATTTTAGCCGAGCGCCACGCCCCCTCTAACGCCCACAATCGCCCACTAACGATTTTAAAATTGGTCCTGCGCCCACATCTTTAAAGATTTCCGAGAAGTATAAATGCAATTTTGTTGTGTATATTTATTCCTATCGAAATGTAGAAGACATTTTTCAAATCGGACCATTCATTAAAAAGTTATACGCTTTATAAATTGTCAACATATATCTATCTCCCTCGCACTCCCTTTAGCTGAGTTACGATTATTAGTCGGGACACCAACCCAACACAGCGTTCGCACTCCCTTTAGCTGAGTGACGGGTATTAGATAGTCGGGACACGAACCCGACTATAGCGTTCTCTCTTGTTTTTATATTGGGAAAGGTCCAACTTTGTCTAATGAATGAGTCAATGTACTTATTTTCTATCGATCTTGCAATTGAATCAAATCTGATATTAGCTACTTAACTGATAATAACTGACAATAAAAGACAAGGAACAATAAATTGTAAGATGATGATCTTCAGGCTCGATTTTCCGGGAAGCTTATCGTCTTCAGATAAGGATATATATTTGCCATTAAAGCCTGTTCAACCTCGAGTGCACTCAACCTACTGCGTAAATTAGTCGAAATTGAAGAGGGTATAGCACCTACTATATAAGCTCCCCTGCGAGCTGTCGAGACCAAACGTCGTTCACAACTCAAGAATATATCATTTACAATGGTGCAGATCAAATTCCTGTTTGCCCTCTTGGCCGTGATGACAATTGTTGTCCTGGCGGCCAACATGGCGGATGCTGATTTTCTATCTGGAAAGTTTAAAGGAGGTTGCATGATGTGGAGTGGAGAGAAGTGCCGTCGCCTGTGCAAAGAACAAGGAGCAGTCAGTGGACATTGCAGTACCAACTTTAAATGTTGGTGCGAAGAATAATAAATCGCATATATTCCAAAGCTGTAAATTGTTTTAAATAATTCCGTATATTGTATTGTAAAGAGAAGTAATAAATATGTATGTTATCAACCGCATGGTAAATGTTTACATTTTTTTTTCTTGTTTGCGAAAAATGGTAACTCAAATTTACGACTTCAAAAAAAATCCATATGATATAACTAAAAAGAGGAAACGTAAGATAGCAATATCAGGCTTACGACTCTATGCTTAGAAAGTTTATCCGCCTTCTTATCATTTATATTTTTTATAATTTCAATATACTTTTTATCACTTAAAAATCACAAAAGCTCTGCGTGCAGAGATTCTGACCCTACATAAGGTTCAAGAAACATAAAAGGAAACTCGATTAGCTTATCGTCGTCAGATAAGGAAATATGTTTGCCATCCTAAAAAGCAATATCAAGTACAATTAACCTACTTCGAAATGTTACGTAAACTGCTCGAAATTCACCTATATAAGCTCCTCTGCCTGTTGTTGAAGCAAACGTCGTTCACAACTCAAGTAAAACACCAGTCTCATAGAGAATATATAGTTTACAATGGTGCAGATCAAATTCCTGTTTGCCCTCCTGGCCGTGATGACAATTGTTGTCCTGGAGGCCAACGTGGCGGATGCAGATTTCCTATCTGGAAAATTTAAAGGAGGTTGCATGGCTTGGAGTAAAGAGAAGTGCCGAAGCCTCTGCACGAAAGAAGGAGGCGTCGGTGGACATTGCAGTGGCTTTAAATGTTGGTGCGAACAATATGTTGCACATGATTGCCTATCGGGAAGATTCAGTGGACCCTGTTGGGCTTGGAGTGATGATCAGTGCCGTAGCCTCTGCAAGGACGAAGGACATGTCAGTGGACATTGTGGCGGCATGAAGTGTTGGTGCGAAGACTGCTAATTCCAACATATTTCAAAAGTGTAAAATGTTTTAAAGTTTATTAAATAACTTAAGAAGTAATAATAATAACAATCCATCTCCCTCGCACTCCCTTTAGCCGCGTGACGGGTATTAGATAGTCGGGACACGAACCCGACTATAGCGTTCTCTCTTGTTTTAATATAATTTTTATCACTAAAATTCACAAAAGCTCTGCGCGCAGATTCTAACCCAACATTAGGTTCAAGAAACTTAAAAAGAAACTCGATTAGCTTATACCAGTTTACCAAAAAAATTGATAAAATACATTTTTTAATTTTTTCCTTAATCAGAAAGATGTACCTTACCGGAAAACAAAGGTTTCATAAAGTGCGTATTTCATTAATTTTTTTTGTAAACTGGTGTTATCGTCGTCAGATAAAGAAATATGTTTGCCATTTTAAACAGCAATATCCAGTACAACTTACCTACTGCGAAATGTTACGTAAACTGCTCGAAAATTCACATATAATAAGCTTCTATGCCTGTTGTCGAAGCAAACGTCGTTCACAACTCAAGTAAAACACCAGTCTCATTGAGAATATATTGTTTACAATGGTGCAGATCAAATTCCTGTTAGTCCTCCTGGCCGTGATGACAATTGTTGTCCTGGCGGCCAACATGGCGGATGCTGATTTTAAATCTGGAAAATTTAAAGGAGGTTGCATGGCTTGGAGTGGAGAGAAGTGCCGTCGCCTTTGCAAGGAGCAAGGAGCAGTCAGTGGACATTGTAGTAGCAACTTTAAATGTTGGTGCGAAATGTAAAATGTTTTAAAGAATTCTTGAAAAATAATAAATGTTTTATTCACCGCAAAGTATATTTTTAAATTCATTTTCTCTTGTCATAAAATCGTAACTGTAAAACCAATTAAGAAGAAATATGTATGTAACAAAACATTATTATGTACTTTGTACACATATCACAAAGAACAGGAAACCTACGATACCATTATTGGGTTAACGACTCTTTTTCCGAGAAGGCTTGATAACGATGATTCATATTAAACTCAAGGGGTGTCAATAAAATAGATAGGTGCTTCTGAAGAGTTACAAATTGAATTAAATGGTGCGGTATATCGGAATTCATATCAATTTTGGAATTATTATTTTGTCAGCTAAGAACAACGAGTTCATTTATTATCGGTACAACACTTCAGTTTAAAAATTGAAAATTTTCTAATATTTTAAACAAGTAAATTAAAAATTTAGTTTATGAGACTGCTTCAAGTTTTTGCTAAGTTAATAAAATTTGATTCATTATTCAAACAATTTTAACCAGTTTCTTAGAAGTCTCGTGAAAAATTGTGCATAAATTAAATATATGAATAAATGAATTATTGTGGTTTTTACCATGAACAAAAACCGGAACTGCATTGCTAGTTCTTAATAAGAAAATCTATCTATTAAAGCCCTAAAGTATGCAATTTATGAAAAGTACACTGCAATTAAAATTATCAAATTACTTGCTGTAGTAAAAACTTTCTTAGATTTACATCAAAATATCATTTTTATATATATGACGTAATCAGACCATTTGTGGAAAATTGTAAAAATGCAATTGATATATTTTTTTCTTTTTCAATTTTTTCTTTAAAATTGTTCATGTGAAAAGCCCAAAAGTATGCTTTCACAAAAAGTGTATTGCATTTATTTGCATTTCCACCACGAATGCAAATTGCTTGGCACTGAGATTCTGGGCCTATATAAACGGCAATCTCGGTTCAAAAACCTTAAAAGTAAACATTCAACCCAGAGAGTTTTTCTAAAGATGTCGCTTAACAAAAGCCTGTTTGTTGTCCTCGCTGTGTTGGCCATCGTTCTAGTAATGGTGGCCCACGAGACTTCGGCCTATGATTGTCTGTCGGGAAAATTCAGTGGACCCTGCTGGGCGTGGGATGGAGAACAGTGCCGACGACTCTGCATAGAAGAGGGACACGTTAGTGGACATTGCAGTGCCAGCCTGAAGTGTTGGTGCGAAGGATGCTAAAGCCGCTCAATATTATACGTGTTTATGTTCTTAAATATCTACACATGAACTATGTATTTTTTATTGTTCTTACAAATAAATACAAAATATATATCACGGCAAAAAGTGTTATTTAACTGGGTCGAGCTTGCAATATCTTTCAGATCGGTAAGTTTTTATTCATCCCATGAGAAACATTACTATCTTTAACTCATACATTTCGGATTAATTTTAACTTTTTAGAAATATATATAATTATATAATTATAAAAATATAAATTTAAATGACTAAAGAAAAATGTTGACCAAAAAGATTTAAACCCTAAATCAATGTTTACTTAATTTACATATGTTAATGTTTAGCCGAGACCTAGTAATGGAATGGAAATATGATATTAAATATGGTATTTTATTATTGAATTTTTAATATAAACATTTTTATTGCATCTAAAACGTTTTTATTATTGAAATGAAACTTTATTTGAATTATTATGATTTTATTAGTATAGGCAATAAATCATTCGTATTACATCCGCATTTTGCAAGTTAAGTTTGTGGAACTTCTGGTTCTGGTTTTCCTCGATAGCGCTACTACTAAATCTATTTCATATTCAAACAGTTTCAACCAGTTTCCTAGTAGTCTCGCATATAATTTTAATGCAAATAGAGAATGAATGGGGATGTCACCATAAAGAGAAATCGAAACTAACGGCTTTATAGAAATGCATTACTAGTTTTTATAGTAGAATATTTATTTGTGTTCTATTCATGCCCAAAAGTAGGCTCCTTAAATCCAAGACATTCCATGAGATAATATGTTCTAGTTATTATCTGTAATTATCTGCTAATCAATCGACGCAGGCTGAATCGAAATTGCCGGACAGAGAGATCTCAAACCCTATATAAAGCCCAGAAGCTGTGCTCAATTTACGAGTAAAAGTAAATTTCTCTGAAAACTGACAAGATGCAGATCAAGTTCCTGTACTTCTTCCTCGCTGTGATGACCATCTTCATCCTGGGCGCCAAGGAAGCCGAGGCCGACTGTCTTTCGGGCCGATATGGAGGTCCCTGTGCAGTCTGGGACAACGAGACCTGCCGTCGTGTTTGCAAGGAGGAAGGACGATCCAGTGGTCACTGCAGCCCCAGTCTGAAGTGCTGGTGCGAAGGGTGCTAAATCCTCTTCCACTTCGAGGACCTTAATACGCAGTCCCGAAAACCGTTGCTCGAAATCGCAGAAAAACTACTATGAGTATCTTATTTTGTAGCATTGCTTGAGAACTACAAATACATATATTATTGCAAAGAATTTAGAATCTTATTTTTCTGGGATTTTCCAATTTCCTATAATCAAAACTTTGGCTGCAAACCTGAGACAATTTATTTGCTAATAAATGATAAACGCACTGCTGATGGCATTTGCCCCGGTTTTCCCTGGTTTGTTCAACCGTGATACTATAAACCTGAATCATCATTTGTTAAGTAATCATCTAATTGTTCTCTATCTCAAGTAATCTTAGAAAATGAAAATTTAAATTGAAATTGGTATTATTTACATAAAACTTCGGATTGTGAATATTAGAAATGCCGCCGATAGTAAGTTCCGATAATTTCCATGATTAATGGGGATTTAGGTACTATTTTGTTTTGAGTCTGAAGCTGTGAGAATTTGGGTTTCAAAAAGCTTCAGTATACAGTATAAATTATAAATTTAATAAAATTAAATTATAAAATATAATAAAATGAAAGATAATATTGATAGGTTTTAAACATCTAAAGAGAAATAAGTGATTAAAAGAAAAAAGACGATTCATCTAAATGGCAGTTTAAAGTTGTATTTTGTTGGTTGATTTGATATAGCTTTAAACTTATTGGTTTGCAATTGTTGGTTGCTTTGATATAGTTATAAACTTATTGGCAAATATATTTAAGTAGTAATATTGATTAGGTAACAGAAAATCGTACGCTTCATAAGGCATTAGCTTATCGGTATTTGATATGTGGTCTTTCTCTAAAGTCGTTATCTCTGAAGAAGATAGTCCGCACTTGAGAAATTGTTGGGGTAGCTTGAAAGAGGCAATGTTTACAAATAGAACCAAAGTTCTTCAATATTAAACGAAGTAATTCAATATATAAGTGCATTGATTCTAACTTACGATAGGTTTAATTGGCCTAAAAGACTTTCTAGGAAAACCCTTCAAAAGGGCGTGCAGTTAATGAAGATGTCACTCATCCATATTCCATAGGCTATTATTAAAGTAATTGTAATTGCTTGCATTTATTTGCTTTAGATTAGATCGAACACATACAATGTATGTGTACCGTATGTTTAATTGTTATCTATGAAACCAGTTCTAACCGCAACCGAGATAAGTGCAAGCCTCAACTTAATTTATTTTTAGCCGTATCAAACATTAAAATAAATGGACTCGTAATAGCTGTGGGTTAGGGTTAACCCCTTTATAAATTCTTTCGAAACTATTATTGAAGTCATTTTCCCCAGATCAACAATCTATATGGCAAATTCTTATCGTTCATTACGTTTGTGGCATAACCGGAGTACTCACGAATCAATCATTTTTATTTTAGGTGGCTATTGTTCAATAAATTAACCCCATAAATCCATTTTTTATATTTACATAAATAAGCATTCCGGAAAAACACAAGTTATATGTTAGTTTAACCCATTGCTTCTCGGAAATCAAAAACATATATTAACCTGTGGGCGTTCAGTACGGTTTTTAAAACTAGTTTTAACCACAACAAAGATCCGAGTGTCCATTGAATACGGAGTGCATTAAACTTTATAATAATTATTCACTATGAGTTACATCATTTTCTTGTGAATAATGCTAATAAAATGTAAATCTGAATAAAGAGAAAAATACAAAAACTGGTTTCAATAAGACTAACATCTCGAGATGTTTGAACTAGGTTATTAATTAAATAGGCTTGATTTACTCTATAGAAAATCCCACAATTACAAATGGAATAAATTATACGGAAATGATTTTAGGTACCTACACATTAAAATAGTTTTCACGTTGCACTTACCTTTAAAAAAATATATAAAACCGAAAAATGCTTCCCTTTATAGACTTTTAAAAATCACATTTTATTAAGTGCATACTTACAAGCTAAACAGAGATAACATGATTAAAAAGATCAACATTTAAAATGGCATGGAATGAGTTCTACAAAATAAAAGACATTTACAGAATTATACAAAAAAAGCGTGCAAAATGCTAGTGATTGGTGAAGTGCTCCCCGACATCGCCGCCACCTGGTGGCCGCAGCTGTTCTGAGAAGCGGAGCTGTCGCTATAAGTTCTCGTCCAGGTTCTCCTCGGTGTTCTCCTCCACGATGGCCTCGTCCCAGGGCCCATGGATGTTGAACTTGTACTGCTGCTGCCACACGAATATCAAGGGGCAGACAAAGTTTATAAAGACAGTGGTAGAGGCGTACAAATAGAGCACCGGCCGCGATATCCAGTACAGAGCCAGGCAGCAAATGCCAAAGATGGGCACCATAAATCCTGCCTTCCAGTTGGCTTCCGTCATTATGGGATACAGCACAAAGAAGACGGCGGCCTCGACGAGGAGTACAAAGGCATGATAGGATGTAGGAAGGCGGGAGGCCAGACAAATGGCTCCAAAGATGGCTGCATTCAGCGAGATGGCCTGGGATTAACAGGGAAATAAGTGAGTTATAGGTACTAAGAGATATTCATAAGTAAACCTTGGAGACCATGGCCACATCCAGGCCGTAATGACCGAATATCAGATTCCCCAGCAGCACGAAGAAGGTCATTGTGTAGATGGTGTCCGTGCTGATGGCCTGGGTGAGCGTGTGCAGCATGGGTGAGAAGAGGTAGCCAAAGAGGACCACAGTGACCAGGGTCTTGGAATCCTCGCCCAGCAGCGCCCAGCTGAGACTCCTGCCGCGGTAGCACAGGTAGCCAATACCGGTGACCCCGCAACTGGGCACCAGGATCGTGGTGGGCGACACGCTGTCGCTGAGCATCAGCTGGTAGAGTATCAGGAAGCCGGTGATGCAGGATATTTGGTTATTCAGCACCGTGATGCCGGCAATCGCCTCGCTCAGAGTGTAAATCCGCACATGCAGGTTCGTGCGCAGATCCTTGAGGAAGCTGGCGTCCGTGTAGTTGTCCGGGTACTCGCGGTTCGAGTAGAGGTTCTTCACCCACGGCTGCCGTTTCGCTTGAGCCTTTTTCACCATTTTTAAAGCATTTAAAAATTGTTTGTTTACATTTGGTTTCTAGACTATCGTCCTTCGATATCGATTATGGAACATATCGAAAGGGGTGTGTCTCCGCTACGCCTGGCTCAAGTCTCCACTAACCGAACATGACCGTTTTTCCCTTATTTTTTGGTATTTCCTGTTCACCCACCTCTAATACCTTGGAATCGTAAATCGTAATTTTTTGAGCACGCACTTGTTTGTTTTGTTTACAATTAACTCGCTCGCGCTGGAAATCCTTGAAGATCCACCCCGAAAGTCAGCGTTTAGTGGACAGTGGAGCCGTTCGAGCTGGGGAGAAACGCCCCATGAGCAGTCTTCCGCCGAAATCGAAGCCGGTCGCGTGTTTTCTCGCCCGAGAATCCCCAGAATTTCCGAGAATAGCTATTTATGGCTTCGAATGCGCAACTCGGAAAACTCATTTTGTTAGCCGCAATCGCCGTGTTCTTCTACTACTCATTCTGGGTGGCCGTCCTGCCGTTTATGCTCATCGATGAAGGTGAGTTTGCAGGGGATTTGCTGGATTTGCGGCCAAGTCGGTTTTATTGAATAATCTCGCGCCGCTTTTGTGCAGTAATTAAAGTGACGCCGCGGCGTAAATTGGTCACGATATATAGGTTCATATTACACACACATAATGTGAATGTGGGGTGTGTGAGGGCGAAAACCCAGCCGATTCCCAGAAGAAACCGGGGTTACCTGCAAAGCGGCTCTACAAACGCTCTAAGCTCGGGTCAAGGTCACCCACGAACGGTGATGCGGGGTACAGTAGTCACCGGCTATGTGCGCAGTTTTAGTGTGCTTTAAAAGTAATGGATTACAATTTAATATCATTATTATTTTTCGACTTTAAATAGTTAAGTATTACATATTTTTAACTGTTGTATTTACCCTATAATTACTGTAGCTAACTACTTAAATTTTTGATATCCAAAAAAAACTTTGCTAACATTCCACATCCATTTTTTTTGTTTTCTTAAATGGGTTATCGCTAAAAAAAATTGGTCATAATCGTACATTATATAATTCTTTTTTTTTATTTCCTTGAAAATGTATTATCAGTAATAACCATGTGTTGCTTGTCAAATATTTTACTTTTAAAGAATTCGTCATTTAAACAATGTTATTTCCTGATTCATTTGACGTTTGTAAACGTCATTTACTGTAGCTGGGTTATTTGTACCTAGAGATCTGAGGAAAACTAATTAAATTTCAGTAGTTTTCGTTTTCATCCTAACTAGGTAATAACTTTTACGCTTAATGGGTATCTATTTTTCACCTCAACGATTATAGGAACATCATTCCGTGACCAATCTAATTTGTAGCTTTTAACTTTGGCCTAAAAATAGGGAATCTAATCGTAAAGCATTATGAACATTATAAACAAAACGCAGAAAAGCAATGCAATACTTCCCTGTCCATCCTTGCCAATCAAATAAAATCAATAACATATTATTGTAAACAAATTAAAACTAAAAACAAATAAATAAACTACTGTATAATCATAATTATATCCATGTATATAATTTTTTTTTATTACCAGGGGTAGTAGTTAAGGGCTAAAACATTTTATTCTATTATAACTAATTTTAGGGTACTTTACCTATATTTTAATAATATATTACGATTGAAACATGATATGATATCATGGTTATGATATCATGAATACCTTATAACCTTTTATGATACCGTACGACGAGGTCAGTCTTTCCTATTAATTTCCATTACTATATTAGAACTAATTTTAGGGTATTTTAATAATATATTACGATTGTTACATGATATGATACCATGATTATGAATACCATACCATACCTTTTACGATACCTTACTGACCCCTTATTTCCCATACTTTTCCAGGTAATCCCATTCGCCTGTTCTTTCCTCCGCTGAAGTACGCTTTTATAGTGCCCACTGTGTTCGGGGTGATCTTCCTCGGCGGCATCGCCGCGTTCTCCTTCTATCACATCTGGAGCCTGCGGGTGAAGCGCGATTAAGGGGTTATCCGGGGGTTATCACTCCCGTGGCGAACGTAAGTGAGTGATTCCGCTGGAAGCGAAAACAGGGAATAAACCGCCGATAATCAGTCGAGGACAAAATGCCGCAGTGGCTGGTCATTGGAATCTCGGGCGTCACCTGCGGTGGCAAGACCACGTTGGCCCACAGCCTGCACGACTACTTCAAGGGTCTCAGTGGAGCGCCGCTGTGGAACTCGCCCTACACCATTGGCGAGGTGCGTCTGATCTCGCAGGATGACTACTTTCTGCCCGTCGAGGACAAGCGACATCAGCGAAATGAGGCTTTGAATGCTATCAATTTTGAGTTGATTACATCGCTGGACATGGTGAAGATGCTGAACGACATAGCGCTTATTATCAAGGGTCGAAACGTGGCCCCCGAGCCGCCGGAGCAGCTGGTGACCTATGCCAACTTCGAGCACTACGCTTTGCAGTTTCAGCAGCAGTATCACTACAATGCCAACTACTACAAGCAGGCCAATGGCTATCAATATCCGCCGCATCATCAGCAGCAGAGGCATCATCATCATCATCACCATCAACAGCAGCAGCAGCAGCAAATGCAACAGCAGCAGCAGCACATCATGCGGATCAACGCACAGATTGCCGCCCAGCTGCGGGACAAGAAGATCAACTTCCTCCTGGTCGAGGGCTTCATGATCTTCAATCAGCCTGAGCTGCTGGCGCTGTGCAACCTGAAGTACCACTTCCATCTGCCCTACGAAAAGTGCTTCGAGCGGCGCAGCAAGCGCACCTACGATCCACCCGATGTCACCGGCTACTTTGAGCTCTGCGTTTGGCCGCATTACGAGAAGAACTTCAGCGAGTATCGCGACTGCAAGGACATCACATTCCTCAACGGCGAGATGGCCAAGGAGAAGATCTTTAAGTTCGTCCTCCAGCGCATCGTTCACTACTTCGAGGAGCGCTGCGAGGTGCCTGCTCCTGCTCCAGTCGTCTGTCCACCGCAGCAAAAGCGATTTGGAATGCTGTACGTGGGTCCGAGCAACAACAACGTGATGCCCACAGCCTGTCCCATGGAGCAGTAAATGTACAATAAAGAAAAATTGTATAGTAGTAGAATGTTAAGCGGTTCGAAAATTGTTTGAATTACTTCCCCGAAAAGTACCCTCTCCAAATTTAAGGCATACTTATAAGCAAATCTTAGGGTGGTTCGATTTTTGATGTACAAATCAACGAAATTAAATCTGTTAATTAGAGAAACCATAAATTTTAGCCACCGCAAAGTCCAAAGAAAATTGCAGTATTGCTTAGAGATATTCCTTAACCCATAAACCATACCCATATTCTTTCTATAGACACACAAATCGACCCGCCCTAGAATAGAACTTTCATTAGTTAGTCTTTATTTCGTATTAAGATAGTTATTATTGGGTGACATGGTCTCTCTCTATCGCAGAGAATCTTGTAACCAGATTGTGAAATGAAGAAACTCGGTTCAGGAATTCATATTTAGCTGTGCTAACTATTACACTTGTATTGTTTACTATTTACGTCATGGAATTTTTGCAAAAACCCCAACGAGGCATTCGGTGTGTGGGGCGTTTTTTTAATGGAGTCGAAAAGTTATTGTACTATATAATGGATATTTATATATACCTTGTAAATAACGTAGTGTATATTTACGAAATTTAAACCTAGCTTCTAAGACTATCACCTAATAGAATTATATATTTTTTCTTGTGCGAAACAAAACACACATGTATGTATGTACGAATAAACAGACATTTAACCGCATTTCGAACTAGTTAATTTGTTTATTCCGCTACAGAAGCCAATTGCCGCGATCCGTTTTAACACGGGACTCGTGGAACAGGACGAAAATAATAGTAATAAATATATAAATTATAAAATACATTCGTTAAATATACAGGCTTGCTGTTGTCATCGCCATGGGGGTTTAGTTAGTTGAAGGGGAGCGGAGGCCTGCCAATTTATTGCCAATTCAGTAAGTAGTTGGTGTTCCAATCGTGGTGGTCGGGCTACATGGATTATATCAATGTACTTCTTAATGCTTACAATTAAGGTAATAACTTTTTGCTTATATGATGCGTGATCGATCGAGCAGCAGCTAAAAGAGAACAATATTGTAAGTAAAATAGTAGGAATAGAGGGATGTTGTTTCTAGTAAAACTATTTATTTCACATAGAATTGAATAAAAAAATCAGTAGAAAGTTTCTACTATAGCCCTGCGTGAATCATTCAATTTTTGTTTTATAATAGAGTGCCATGAAATGAATGAATGAATAATTTTTATAAATTTTTTTAATTTGCCAGATTTTTTTTTGTACTTTCTTTTGAGAACAAAAAGCGGAAAATGTTTAACAAATCAATATTAACTGCTTAGAAAATAAAATTCATGCAGATTTAATCACAAAATGATGGCCCTTTCGTCTTCAAAAGAAATTGTCGTTTGAATTATTTCGGAATTCATTAAATTCTATTAAACTCAAAATTCAAATTCATTCAATTCTATTAAACTCAAAATTCTAATTAATATATATAACAAAAAATTCCAAATAATTCATTGAATTCATTCATGCAGGGCTTTAGTTTTCACTCACCCTTGGCTGCTCTTTCCTAGAGGGCATCCCAGTCGGTCTGACTGTTGTAGACCTCCTCCTCCAGCCAAACCGCATAGTTGGCCTTGAAGTAGTCCGTCAGCTCGACCTTGCGATCCCACCAGCCCGAGTGGCCAAAGAAGGCAAAGTCCGAGTGGGTGAGGATCTCGTCGCTGGGGAAGCCGCCCTCCACGCCATAATCGTTGAGCTGCTGCTGCTGTTGATTGTGGCCGTTATTGCCGCCGCCGCCTCCGTTGTTTCCATACCCATTGGCATCGCCATTATTGCCACAGCCATTGTTGCCCGCCATCATATTGGATTGCTGGGCATTCTCCGCATTCTGGGCGGCTGTCCCATTGTTTCCACACTTTTGGGTGGCCTCCGGATATCGTCGCAGGTTGAATCGATCCACGCAGGCACGCAAAGTGCACTCCTCCGCCTGGAAATCCCAGGGACGCGACTCCAGATCATTGCCAAAGGCCCAGTCGTCGTTCAGACGATGCCGCACCTTAGCGTAAATTGCACTCATGGTCTTCATGTTCGACTTGCGCCACTGGCGACCCAAGTATTTCGTTTGCATCTTGAGGAGCTTCAAGACATACAGCTGCATCATGGCGTGGCGAACCTTCAGGGTTTTCTTCAATATCGGTGCCGATTTAAACACCACCAGCATCATCACTCGCGAGTGCTTCCACTTGATGAGTTTGTTCAAAATGCGTAGCAGATTAATGCAGGAAAAGACATTCCGCCAGGAGTAAGGCTTATCGGACATCTCGCCGCCGTAAACAAAGCTATCGCCACTCAAATCCGGCTGCTCGCCAATCACACACGACGGGAAATCCAGCAGGGGAATAGAGTTCTTGGTGTTCACATACTCGGTGATTGTCTGATTAAAGAACTTCAATACGAGCGGTATGCAATTGGCGAAAACCAAATGCTGCGACATGAACTCAAACTGATAGACATGGTTGATTTTAAAGTGCTTGAGATAAAGCAGAATAATGGCCGAAACGGCCTTCACAATGATCTCCTTGTGGCGACCCATATCCACTGTGAGTTTGGTCGACTGAGTGGCCGTCAGCGGCATCTTCTTGGGCAGCACATCGGCCATTATGTTGATGCTCTCCGTCTTGGACTTTGAAGTGGGCGAAGCGGCCAGAAGGACTTTGAGCAAGGCAATCATATACTGTGGCAGGTTGGGCAGAATGGCCTGGTAGAGAACCTCCGCTGGCGTCATTTTAATCTCGTCCTCGTGCGTGGAAATCGGATTCCGGGCTATATCCTCCTCCTTCTTGATCTGCACATCGGCGAGGCTCATGTACATGTGCCGCTGCAGCGTCTTGAAGCCCTCGTGAATGGGTTGTGGCAGTCCAGCCAGACTCTCATGATCGCCAATTAGGGAATACCCGATGAATTTATTTCTTGATATATCCAGAAACTGATCGATGTCCTTCTGCCGCACCTTGGGCGTCCACGGCAGGCGGGCAGTGATCTGCACGGGCGGCACAGCAGCCGGCGGCTGTGTTGCGCTGGGCTGGTTGTTCGGATTGGCCGTCGAGGTGGTCGAGGAGGAGGATGAGGGATCGTCGTAGGGCCTGTAGTACTGGGAGAGCTCCTCCTCGCTTCCGTTTCCTCCATTGCCGCTGCCATTGTTGGCATTTGTCTGCCCCTCGTTGCCGCCCATCTCCATGTCGATTTGCTCCGGTTCGTCCAGGAAGCGCTGCTTCATCAGGGAGCGTCTATAGGAGAGGATAAAAATAAGTTAAAGGGTTGTTTTTTAGGCGTTTAAACTTTAAAGCAGGGACCGTAACTGTTATAAGTTTTATTTTTAAAGTCACACTTTAACAGTTGTCTTCTGATATGTAAAGTAAAACTCACAATTATTCTTTGAGTATTTCTTGAGTTTTATAATAAAAGCTGACAAATAACAGTTATTCGTCGTGATTAAAAATAAAACTACAACTTGATTTATGGCGGTTTTGTGGGTAAAATAATTTTTAAAAAAATATAGTTATAAAATATGCGCGGTTGCCTTTTTTTAAACAAATTTTTAGTAAGTTTTATAAAACACGGTTAGCATGTTTTTTCAATTATTTAATTTTTTCAAAAATGTCAAGGGAATAACGTTTATACATAAAAATCAATGGCTAATAAAAATAGTGGTGTAGTAAAAAAAAAATTTTAGGGAATAACTTTTATACATAAAAATCAATGGCTATTAAAAATAGTGGTGTAGTTAAACAAAAATTTTAGAGAATAACTTTTATCCATAAAAATCAAAAATTAAAAATCAATGGCTAATAAAAATAGTGGTGTATTAAAAAAAATGTTTTAGGACCCTTCTAAGTGCGTGATTTTTTTTTTTAAGAAAAATTTACAACAACAGTTATTCTGGGTCCCTGGTTTAAAGACTCCACTCACTTGAAGTTCTTCCGCGGATACTGGTTCTCCAGTATATCGGTGGCTGTGGCCGGCGGCGAGCTGGCCCTCATGCACTTGGTGACCTCCAGTGTGTCCTCGGTGATGGGATCCAGGCCCACCTTCACCCTATACTCATTCTTGAGATTCTTGAGCACATCCATGCCGCCCAAGCCGAGCAGCGAGACCTTCCACAGCAGCAGGACGACCTTCTTCATGGGAAACTGCGGGGCGGCGCCACTACAAAACCGGGTAATCATGCCCAGCAGCTTGACGGCGAGGAGTTCGCCATCGGGCAGTGGTGAGTTGATCTCCTGGACGAAAGAGTCCGCCAGCTCCTTGTAATCCTCGCTGCCTCGCTCTTTTTCATCCCGAATGGTTTCTGTAATAATGTAGAGCACGGAGAGAATCACACGGATGTCCGTGGAGTCCACCAGCGTGACATTGGTGATCTTAACGGCCACGATGTCCGGTGAACAGGCGCTCTCAATCTCCATGTTCAGGAGGTCGATGAACGAGGCAAAGACGCCCAGTTGGTGGAGCACCAGGACATTGTCCCTGGTGATCTGGTGCTGCTCCTCATCCGACTGAACCTCCGCCCAGCAACCTTGAGCGAGATAAAGGATACACCTGGCAGCCTGCATGCGAAAGGAGCGATCGGAGACCTCCAGCTGGTCCACCAGCTTCATCACAATGCCCCGCTGGGCGGCCGAGTCCTGCTTCTGCCAGTTGGGCGGCAGATCGTACAGCTCCATCTGATCCTCGAAGGCTTTGACGTTCATCTGGAATTCGCTGAATTCCGTGTAGCTGTAGAGCTCGGCGATCTCGTTCTGGTAGCCATCCACATCGGAGTAAACGAAGTCCAAGTCGGGACCATCGCAGTTGGCGTCCGCGTCGTGGGTGTCCTGCTCGAAGGAGTTGTTTATGGATGAGAGCATCATTTTGGGACTGGAGTCTCCTCTTTTTCGCCAGGTGTAATGTCCTATATATATGTGTGTGTGTGTGTTTGGCTATGCGTGCGTATGTGTATCCTGCGGCGGTGGGCGGCGGTACGCGCCTTGCCTGGGCGTGGCTGCCTCTGCTCGCTGGCTTTCCCTTATCTTTAGCTCTCTAGCAGGCGCTCATTGCGGTCTTCAAGCAATGCATTTCACTCGCAAATTTCGTCTACAATTTGTTTCTCGCCAATAACAAAAACGCACAATGGAAAAAGAAGAAAATTGGTACGACCGTTTGCGGTGTGGGTGGAAAATACTAAAAAGACTGGATGGGGCAAGGCCGGGTGAACGGTTGTGGCAACGCCGGCTAAGATAACCAGTATTTTGAATTGAAAACACAATAACCACTATTTTGAATTTGTTTATTAGAGCCCTGCACGAGTATACTCGAAATGCCCTTTGACTCAAATTTCAGAAAAACGGTTCGAGTAAATCAGCTCATAGAAATTTTCGGATCAAGTAGCTCAGCTCACACATTTTTACGTTGAGCTGTTTGTTTGATCGAAAAAAAGCAAGTATAGTAGATCATAGATCATGTTTAGTAGATCAAGTATCCGAACATACCTAAAAAATGTTATGTAGGAACAGAGCTCAAAAGTGTTATGTAGGTACAGAGCTCAACAATGTTATGTAGGAACAGATCTTTTGTAGGAAAAGCAATCTGATTGAAGAAATTCGGAGAATATTATATTGCTTAATATTTTAATTAATTTACTTATAGCAGTTCAACGTTTCTTATTTTGGCTAATAAGTTGTTTTGATGTTATAAATTTGTATTTGTTTGTATTACAGTTTAAGAACTTTTATATATGTTATCTGTCCAGCCATCTGTTGTAACGCTGTACCCGATACCTTGTTTTCTGTTTTCGCATATCTCCGTTTTTACACGATTCTGATGCACAGCATACAATTTCGAGATTTGTCTTGAAACAGTAGTTGGGTGCGGAAGCACAGAAGTCGCCTTTAAATTCTGACCTAACTTCGATCCGAGTCTTATTAATGCATACGCCATTTTTAAAAGGCCTGAGTCTGCTAATAGCTCAAAAGGCCGACAGTTTTCGACGGTTCACTCTGCTGCCAATTTAACAATTTTTGACTTCGTTTCGTTGTCAATTTTCACTTCTGCACACAAAAAAAAAACTTAGTAAAATCAACTGTAATAATTGTCAAACAGGCCCCAACCAGCAAAATTGTCAATTCTACTAAGTAAATAGTCATTTCACAACAACAAAATACACACAATTAGCAAAGACACAAACCCAAAGCAAAAACAAAATACACGTAACTATTTTAATAGTTACGTAACTATCTTTGTTGGTCAATTTTACCAAGCAAATTTTTTTGTGTGTGGCTCATCTTCGCATTTTGGCTCAAGAGCTTTAAAGCATTTATGCCTAGCCAAATTAGATGTAGAGTTGCTATACTTGACTGCATGTGAACACTTTTTGCATGCTACGACGTTGGTTATTTCTTCTCCCTTTTCATTTAGAACGTTTCCGAAAATTTCCCATACTTCGCTTCTTCCACGTTTCTGGCTTATGGTAAAAGTACCAGATAAAACCTTCATCCTGATTTCATCCAAGCTTAGCTGAGACTAATTAGACTTTAAAATTGTTACCAAAGTGTAGATGCTTTGGCGATACTTACCTGTGGTACAGAAGCCATTACGAATGTTACGAAAAACTATATAAAGAAATAATAATTACGAACTCGCTCGTTTTATTAGCCGGAAATATTTGACACTAGACCCTGTGAGCTGTTCGGTCTGTTCGGGCTGTCCGAGTAATCTGAGCTGTTTGACTTGTTTGCTTTGCTGTTGTGAGCTGTTTGAACTGAACTGTTTTAAAGGTATCCGTTAGGCATATGAGCTTGTTTGGAGCTGTTACTTGCTTACTCGATAATTCTATGACCTATGACTCGAAAGTCACAAACAAACAAACAAACTCTAGCTCAGAGCTGTTTACGAGTCTACTCGTGCAGGGCTCTATTGTTTATGAAACTTTGCTTAAAAGTTGGAAATTTTTAGTTTATGTTGACTATGAACCATATTATCGTATTTGGAGAATTAAAGATGAAGTTTAATATGAATTAAATAGTTATCTTTTGAGGGCCCCTTCAGTTTTTTTCTTTTTATTCAGTTTGTAGCTTCTTTATTTATAAACGGTTACTTTCAAATTCAAAAATATAGAAGTCAAAGCTCTTTTCCGTGCCCCACCTGGCAACTCTGAAAAAGCTCTTACCCAATGTGACCAGAGATTAAAAAACCCTTAATACCGGTAAAAAGGAAAGCACTCACACATATAAAATAGGGTTTCGCAAGTCGCCGGTTTTAGTTTTATTTACGCTCAGAAATCGAAAAGAAACAAAGAAAGTGCCCAGTGCAATTAGTCATTGATATTACGACATAAGTAAGCCCAAACATCAAGTGTTTTGCGGAGATAAAGCGAGTCATATCAGGTCGACGACCAGCCGAGAAGAATAAAGAAAGGGAAAACAATCGAATACGAATCGAAATCTGTACTTTGCACCCGATTTTCGAACATATCAGCGTGAGCTTGCAGAATCAGTCATTCTATTTGTATCCCTGCATCCATCCAAAAGTCCGAGCAGATCGTGGTGAAATCAAAGATATATACCCAGTACATATAGTCGAAAAATAAATAACACAATGGCCGGTCGTTCCATCGTGCACTTTTTTTTCGGCTCTATAGCGATTGCCTTAGGATCGTATATCTACTTTACCATGCAAGTAATTACCCATTATTCAGAACCATAACTCTCCCTTCTCAAATTGCTGTCATTTCTACGTACGCGAATCGAAAATAATGGCTTGCATGTGAAATTTAGCGGCAAAATGGATTGGCATTCCGGTGACGTGGGCCAATCCTGACCGGAATAGAGGTCACATTGCGTGACCCAATCCCTGACCACCACCGGCCATTAAATCGCGTGACTCACTGGGAACCAGAACATACATCATACATATGCAGATGGGCCCAGACTTTGACTTTGACCCTCATGCATTATGCAGCGTCACTGTGATTAGTGGTCAATTGGCCAAGGGCGGTAGTTCGAGGTCGATGGTATAGGATTTGGATCTGATAACCACCCCATAAATACCCGACATTCAGTCTGACTTATCATACCTTCAGTATTTAGAATTCCTTAATCACAATTACTAAACAAAGTTACACAATCTTCAATGGTGATAATGGAAGTGTTTACGACAGATAGTATATAAATACATTTTTAATTTGGAATAAAATGATAGAAACTAGCTGAATGCTTTTTTTAATATCCAATCAGTATCTTAGTTCTCTAAGATAGAATTTCTTTAGAAGATTGGTAGTTAAAATATTGTATAGAAAAAAGTGAACGACCTATGGAAAGATATATAAAAAACCTAAAAAAGTTAAATGCTTTCTAATTTACCGTATGGATTTTTTTTCAATTTTATCCAATTGATTTTTTATTATTTAATGTATCTGAAGATAAAAAAAATTAGGAACAAATTTTTAATACACCTCTATATCCCTCATTTTATGAATATCTTATTAAACAAACCATTTCACAAAAAATTTTTTATCCTACACTAACACTTAAATAACATAATGTTTTTCAAGACACTAATTACTCATAATTTAAACTTGTAGACTTGTTTTTAATGTCATATATTTTTGTAGAAACTGTTCTGACAACCTGCCTCTTAATTTTTCCAAAATTAAACTTTCTACTCAAGTAATCCTACACTTATCCATGCAGTAAATTTTAAAGTACACTTTTACACTAGTCCTTCCATTCCTAAATTTTCTCAAAAAATCTGCCTGGTTATTTGCAGCGTTTGAAGTATGAGTCTCAGGCAGTTTCAGAACATTTCCCGCCAGGCCCTCAGGTGCTATTCAATCAGGAGGACCCTAAGTCCCGCCCTCCAGTTGAGTCAGGGTCACAGGCAGGGCCTCCGCCTCTGCACCGTCCTGCTTCCCGTGAGCTGTGCGGCCACATCCGCCACATCCGCCACTTCCGCCTCCACAGCCGCCCAGTACTCCACAGCAGCTGCCGTGAGTTCAGCACCACTGACACTGATAGTTGATTAGCTCTTAATCCGTTGACTAACTCAGTTGCTTGTCTCTATGCCAAACTAAACGTTGTTGCCTTTGCCTTTGCCTCTGCCTGTGTTCTCTGTTTTCTGTTTCTTGTTCTATTATATATCATATTCATATGTGGAATGGGTCGATTTTGATACAGAATATAACCATATATGTTGAGAAGAGTAATCTATCGAAATTCTCTTTTATTTTCTCATTTACACTTATTTTTTTTACCAATCATAACAATACTTTTAAATAAATTCTATTTAAATAGAAATATTCGTAAAATTCTTTATAATATCCTCAGTTATAGTTATTTTCCCTTACCAATCACAACATAAATTCTAAATGAACTCTATTTATATACAAATATTCGCAAAATGTTTGATTATTAATTGATCTTATCTTATCTATAGGCATACACCTGCATTTTCGAGTGCTACGAGCTTCCTTATTGTTATAAAAATCAATGTGATAATGTTTTTTCGTCAATAAATGATTAATTACCTGATTAAAGTTCACTCTAAAGATTAAAATTCGTATTTATGTTGAAAAATCAGCAAGTAATGGTTAAAAAAAACATTGAACCGCCAGATTAAAATTTACTTTTAAGATTAAAATTAAAATTTAGGTTAAATATTTTGCAGGTGATAGCAGACAATAATATAATTTGAAAATATCAAGAAATACCTATTAAATATTTTTAAAGATCTTGAAAATGTTGTTAAAGGATACTTTTATTATTTCTTAAATTAGTTTATCCCAAAATCGACCCATTCCTTTCTCACTCACAACATATTCCCCATGACTAATCACCTAATTTTCCATTTCTTCCAGATCGACATGTCTGCTAACGGAGATTACAAGAACGCCGCCTCGATCTACGAGTTCACGGTGAAGGATACCCATGGCAATGATATTTCCCTGGAGAAGTACAAGGGCAAGGTGGTCCTTGTGGTGAACATCGCCTCCAAGTGCGGCCTGACCAAGAACAATTACGAGAAGCTGACGGATCTGAAGGAGAAGTACGGCGAGCGCGGACTGGTGATCCTGAACTTCCCGTGCAATCAGTTTGGATCCCAGATGCCGGAGGCCGATGGCGAGGCCATGGTTTGCCATCTGCGCGACTCGAAGGCTGACATTGGAGAGGTCTTCGCCAAGGTAAGCGAATGCGAATTAAGCATTACTAGTAGAGTCATTTTATAACACTAAGCCCTTCCTTTCAGGTCGATGTGAATGGCGATAACGCTGCGCCCTTGTACAAATACCTGAAGGCCAAGCAGACGGGCACCTTGGGCAGCGGAATCAAGTGGAACTTCACCAAGTTCCTGGTGAACAAGGAGGGCCTGCCCATCAACCGATATGCCCCGACCACCGATCCCATGGACATTTCGAAGGACATTGAGAAACTGCTGTAGATCCTCGTCTATAGATGTTTAGATATATCTTATGGACTGTGTTTTTCGCGTAGCTTTAGCTTGTAACCAACCACATGCACCGCATGTTATATATATTGTCTACCCATTTGCTGGTTTTTGATTCCCACCCACAAACATAATAAACGCCATTTGTGGTTACCACACCATTTGTTTTGGCTTTTTGCCCATGCAGGGCACGTATTTGGTTGGGGAATGAAAATTAAACTTACCATGCTAACACGAGACCGCTGAATGCGCTTGTTGGAACCAGTTAAGCTGCAGACCATTTGGATGGCAGACTGGATGCACTGCATCTTGGCGGACTTGAGTGCGTTCATGTGCTCGTAGTATTGATTCCACTGCATCGCAGTTCCAGATTCCATAGGTCCCAGCAATTGTATAACTGTGGGGTTTATTTTGTTTAGTGATATCTAGAAATGTTGGGGTGTCAAAATGGAGTACTGATCATTGAATATCAATTTTAATTTAATTCCAACTTTTTACAAATGTGTAAATAAAAAAATATATATAAAAAAAGGAAAGCACGTTTTTAAAATGTACATTGTAATTTAAAAAACTGGTTTAGCTTTGTGACCAAGTTGATTTCATTCATTATAAAATGTATTAATTAGTTCAAAGGACCTCGATCAATTAGTGTTATTTCGCAAACCATATTTGTTTTTAACCATATACAGTGCATATAATTTATTATCAGAAAAATTTAGAATAATATTTTGGATTATATTTTTATTAATTCCAACTCTCTTCCTTTATTTGGCCTACTTTTCTGCTCTATATGACTTTGACTTTATTGGTGGTAAATTAAGTTTGCAGAAACAAACAGAAATACTTCACATTAACCTTTACCTTCTTTCCGAATTCGAGTGCCCGAATTCGCCAAAACTTCGGTGGCGCAACTTTGCCTGACCAGCACCCCCAAAATTCGAATACATTAACCTATTGGGGGGCCGATCTCCAGTTGCTGCTCCTCCTACTCCTCCGCCTTCTCCACTGGGACAGTTCAACGTCTCGGCTCCGATTTCAAGTTCAAACTAGTTGCCAACGGAGCGGCGATTCCGATTCAGATTCCGACCTTCCGACAATTACATGAAAATGCTGCACTGACCTTTTACGGATGCTAACGAAATTCGGTGTCGAGATCAAAACAGGCAGAGAAAAAGATGTATAAAATCGGGATATAAACTTAGAAACACTTTTAATCTGTATTTTTATTCTAAAATATTATAGTATTTAATACTTTTACTTAAAAGTGGAAATTTAACAGCTTTTTATTTAAAATTCTCCTGACAATAAATGAATAAAATTTTTAAAATTCTATTCTAATAAATTTGAAATTATAGGTATAAAATATCTTTAAAATAATTGTGATAATTTATTAATATTTCGGATAACATTTCAAATTTTTTTGTCAATTATAATTTCTAGAATTTGAACTAAAAATGAAGCACTGACTATAATAAGTTATAACCCAAGATATGTATAGGATAATACAAATTATTGATCCAAACTTTTTTGATGAAATTGCCCGTGAAAAATAAAAGCCTTTCTTTCCTTGTTCAATATGTGTAATATTCTGAAGGCAATACTAGTGTATTTCACTAAATATATTTATTTCCATTATAAGGATACATTTTCTCTCAGTGTTGGTGCGTGCCACACAAGTGTGAAGCGATGACAGCAATTTGTTGAATGCATCATCGATCAAAAGCGATCGCTCCATCGCCAGGCCAAAAATGCCTTTAATTGTAGAACTGGGTTAAGCATCTGAGACTCATCCCTAAACAGTTTGGCCCAGGTCAGTGTTCAGTATTGAAGCTACTGTAGCTACATGCTGATATTCCCAATGCTGCAGTTGACTTTGACACTGATCGCTGCGATTGCGATCGCTCCCCCGAAAATTGCGATTCCGAATCCACCTGAAATCCGTATAAATATGCGGAGCACACTCCATCGATCGATCAGACAGCTTTGGTCAGTTGCTTTGTTGCTTTGGAGGTGGTCAGCAGTGAATAGGACGGCAGTGATTGGACTTGGATATAGGATTTCGGATTGGAAAGGATCTACAGGATGCTACGAGGACTGCTAGTGCTCCTGCTGGTGGCTGGGAGCCAAGTGGAGGCGGCCACCCATGTGAACATCTCGATTGCCCAGCAACCGGCCACAAATCCCGCGGATGTCAAGTACTTGGAGGGCAGTGCTCCGGCGGAACTGAGGGCAGGTCCCCAGAGGGACTCGGAGGATCAGCAGTTTCAGCGGATTCAGGAGCGACAGCAGCAGGTTCAGATGGTTCCACAATCCCAAATGCAACAGCAACAGGTGGTTCAAACCCAGCAGCAGCAGCAACAACAGGGAACTCAGCAGTTGTCCCCTCGCCAGGGATTGGGATTGCAGCCCCCGGTTCAGGGTCAACCCATGCCCAAGAACGGACGACTGCCTCGTAGGCGAAACCACAGCAGACGCCCCTCCATCCACCAGCAGCCACCCAGTCCTCATAGTGGCCAATTCCGACAGCGCAACCAGCAGCTCCGCCAGAATCAGGAGTTCGAGCGGTACATCCAGTCCTATCACAGCCATGGACCCACTGTGGAGACGGTGAGTGAATTTATCAGTTTAAATATTCATTTTAGAGATTTTAAAAAGAGAGGGAGTGAATAAATTTAAATAGGTAATATTTTTAAATAATTAGAAACAAAAAACTGTTATTTTCTTTAACTAATGCCATTTTAATAAGAGTTCTAAGATTTGCTTTTAAAATATAATTTCTTTATGTGCTGACCATCTGAAATCTTCGAAATTTGTATTCACACCATCTTTCAGAGATTTTAAAAAGACAATTAGAGAATTAATTAAATTAGGCAATATTTTTAAATAACTAGAAAGGAAAAACTGCTGTTTTTTTAACTACTGCCATTTTAATGAGAGTTCTAAGATTTGTTTTCAAAATATAATTTCTTTATGTGCTGATCATCTGAAATCTTCTTTTTAAAGATGTTAGTCACAAAAGACCTTCTGGATTTTCAAAGATATTATTTTTTTCCAAGAAAGTTTAAAGATATTTTAAAGTAAAATTTATTGAAGTGCTGGGTAGATCTCATATGTATGTTCTGAACTCCTTTATAAACTCAAATATAAATTCAGTAAAAAAACACTGCAAAAAGGAGGAGTTAAAAAAATTTTAAAAAAGTTAAACTATTTGCTTATAATTCTCCCATTTTTATTCTATTTATATTTTCAACTACAAAATAGGCAGACCTTAAATGAAAGAGATATGATAATTATTTAGTTAATTAAATTATAAGGAGAGAATACAATATAGTGCATTCGTTTAAAACGAACCCTTTTTTTTCAATTAATAATACGGTTAACTGGCTAAATAAATCCCATAATTCCCAGGTCTACGAGTCATCGAATCCTGCGCCCCAGCGCTACACCCAAACGAGCTCCGGAGTGAGTTCCTCTTCCTCCGTGGAAGATGCTGCTCCCCAGAAGCTAGTTTCCATTGGAGGAGGTCGTCGATCCCAGCAGCTGCGCATGTTTGAGCGCCAGGTGGCTGCTCCAGTTTCCTCCTCCCAGGTGCAAAGTGCCAATGTGGAGGCGGCCCAGGACAGCAAACCCATCTACGAGCCACCTCAGGCGCCCATCCAAACGGCCAACATTGCTCCCGCTGTGACCTCCAGTTCATCATCCTCGTCGGGAGGGGCCAGTTCCTCCTCCTCGTCGTCTTCTTCCTCGTCCTCCGGAGCTCCTGCTCCCTCTAATCCTCCAGCTGATCCTGGTTTCAATCCAGCCACCAGTTACAATCGTCCTAGTTACGATCAGAATGGATTTAACTACGAGGATGCCCAGGAGGTGGACTACCAGGATCAGTATCCCCCCGAAGTGAGTGACGATAGTCAAGGGGGCTACGAGGATTATGCGGATCAATCTGGTTACCAGGGCGGTTCTGGCTACCTGCCACCTGCTCCTCCGAGGAGTTACTCTCCTCCCCAGCGTCCCCTGGTCACCAAGACCATCCAGATAGTCCAGCCCGCCTTGAAGGCCAAGAAATACGAGGTTCGCCATCCGGCCATCCAAAAGGAATTCTACGACATCGAGGAGAGGGTGGTGATCAAACCAGCTGGTACTTTGGTGGTGGAGCTGGAGCATCCGGTGGCCAAGATTCCCAAGGGAGAGACGCTCCTCCCGCTGGGTCATCCTCATCCCGCCGTGGCCTCTGCCTATAGTAATGGAAATAGTGGACAGATTCAGAGCTATAACCAAAATGTTCCGGAATACAGACCTTCTTATGATGCAGCTTCATCTTCTAAAGATCAGCAGACCACCACCATTGGCTCCAGTGTCACTACCATGCCCTCCTATGACCAGGCACCCAAGGATGACTTTGTGGAGGCGCGTTTGCAGCAGCAGCAGCCACTGGGCGATGTCACTGATGGCGGCGGAAAGAGCTCACCCACTTTTGTGACCGGAGTAGATCCCCAAGGAAATGCAGTGAAGATCAACTCCAAGCACCTGTCACCCAACATGGTTCAGAGGGTCGAGCCTGAACAGGATTACTCCCGTTCCGGTCAGCGGGTTTACCAACAGAGGAACAACTTCAATAGGCAGCCTTATAACGAAGATGATGACTACTTCTCCGGGGAGTATCTGCCCAATGTGAATGCTGGTAATCTTGAGACGAAGCCTGCGAGATTGGAATTGGCCGAGGAGGAGGAGGAGCGACCCACGCAGATCATCAAGCATGAGCACAAGATTCATTTGCCTCCTTCCCAGCACAATATTTATTTAGGTCACAATCGTCAGGTGCCTTTGAAGGAACGGAGAATCCAGGAGGTTCCCGCCCAGGTGACCGAAATTAAACCCTATCTGAGGAACCATGTGGGATCCACGGTGGTCTATGCCAAATCTCAGTCTCCTAGAACTTATTACAATCAACCCTCCAGGCAAAGAGTGGCCGAGGAGCTGGACTACAGTGCTCCCTACTCACAGATGAGGTTCAGTCCGGCTAACCAGCAATCCTCTAGGATCGTGCAATCCCCCCAATTCAGATACAACCAGGAAAGCAAGTCCTCTAGGCTGGTAGAGGCACCTAAAAAGGAAGAGGAACCCAAGAAGGAGCAGCAGAATACCCACATTCAGATCCAAATAGCCAATGATCAGGATAAATCCGCTGTAGTGGCCACCACAGTGACTCCAGATTGCGATAAAAGATCAGAGATTAGGGAGCAGAAATCCCAGCGCCTGGTGGAGGCACCCAGTTCCGAGGTGACCGCCACTCAGGCCACTTCCACCCAATCGAAACCCAGCCAACCCGATGTGGATGTATCTCTAAACGGAGCCGCTGGGCATCTGAAACCCAATGAGCGGGTAATTGCAGCCACTGCTGCACCCACCGATGCCTCGGCCACCAGTGAGACCTTCCACAAGCGACGCATCGTGGTCAATCATCCATTTCAGACGGTTCGCGAGGTCGTGGAGCACGAACCCTTCACCAACTACCATCAGATTCAGGTGAATGAGCCCGCTCCTCCTTCGCATTATCATCAGGCGTACTATCAACCATCGCAGCAGACCCACGGGAGTCTGGTCCACTTCCAGACTTCCTCCACCCATGGCAATCTCTACTCTCCTTACGGATAAACTGGGATCCAGGATAGAACCCAAGTTGAACCACGAACGAACACGGCCAATGCATTTCCTTTGCTAATTGTTATCTTAGTTTTAGTTTAGATCGTAAGGTGGAACCCAAAAATCAAATTGGTGGAAGGGCCCTTTCCATGACGATGACCCTGATCTTCTTTCGCATTAATTCGATTTAAACGCCTAGGCTTAAGTGCAGTTTTACTTGCCAACAATAAAGTGCATACAAAATGCTAAAAAAAAAAAGAGTTTTCATATTGAGGGGTTTCCCTAAACTGTGGAATTGTTGAAAATTCAACAGAAAATTTCAGCAATTAAGGAAACGACCCAAAATGGTTCCTGTTGAATTTTCAAACAGCTCTTATTTGTTAAAAAGTTTTACGGAACTTAAAACATGTAAAATTTTTTTCATCTAGTTACTGCCTAAAATTGTTACCAAGGTAAAAATAACTTTCTAAGTTGATTTTGAAATAATTAATGACTTTTAATAAAAAATGTTACAGCTCTGTTGAATTGCTGAAATTTCTAAAAGTTGACTTTGTATGAAACAGCGGATTAACAGCTGACTAAAATTCAACAATTCAGAAATTCAACAGTTTAGGTAATACCCTGATTACCCCAAAGGAATTTTTGAAAAACCTCTAAAAATATTTTTTATAAATATAGAAATGTTTCGCTTTTACTGTGATATCACATTTGTATGCATGGCTATACAATTGTTATATAAAAATATCTTATATTTGGTTAGGCACAAGCTGGAGAAGATGTTTCCTAAAATATATTCGGAAACAAACGAGAAATTCCTTCAATATTTTGATAATGCTGTGAAGTACCTTAAAGCTGATAGTGTTTGTTACCAGGTTCTTCCTTAGAAATAGAGAATTCCCCTTCAATTTCACGCTCTTTTGGGCTTTCCTATAGGCTCATCATCGCTGGAGTAATCGGATTCGGGACTAAACAAGACCTCTGGCCTCTTGGGCGGCTCTTCATCACTGGAATAGTCGGAGACGGGACCCACGCTGTTTAGTACTTTCTGCTTTAAGCCAGGCTCCTCGTGATCGGAATCCTCCGATTGATGAGCTTCTGCTCGGCTCAAAACATTGGCTATTTTTTCTATTTGTGCCGAGACTACAGCAGGATCTTCGACTGGAGTGGACAGCACGGCGGCAGTGATGAGTCTCGATGTGGAAGGAGCATCCAGTTCGGGTTCTAAAGAGGTTCTTATTAATATATAGTATTTAATTAAGGGAGTTTATATTTACCCTGATCATTGAGCAAACCATGGTTGGCCTCACGCCGCTTGGTCACCACAATTGCCGTGATATAGAAGGTTAGAATGGGCAGGAGGACCACCACGCACACGGCGATGAGGAAGTTGGTCAGCTTCACTTCGCGTTGACAACAATTGAGGGTTTTGGACCAGTTCAGACGAGTGCGGTTCATCTAAAAAACGAAAAGGGTTAAATTTACTACTACTAATTTTTACTAGAAATAAATTAAAAATAAATGTGATGAAAACATGTGAGAAATATTAAACTTTTGTAATTGTGATTCATAAAATCAGTTTGATTTAAAGTTTCATGTACACATAATTTCAATACAGAAATTCAGAATTTTGTATTTCTAAGCGTATCTTAAAAACCACATAATATGTAATCTTTAAATAAATATTGTGGGGTGTTGAATTTGTAATATTTTCAACCAAAACTCTACAATAGCTTCCCTAAAAATGTAAAAAAAAAGAGTTTTTAAAGAAGATACTATCTTAATGACTTATAATAAAGTTGAACTTACATTATCCTGCAGATCGAAGCACACATTTCCGTGAACTTCCGACTCCATCTTAAGATACAAATCGTTTAGGGCCAAATAGAAGGGTTTACATTCCAGGCAAATAAGATCCGGTCTACTGTGGTCCAGACAGGACTGCAAATCGATGGATTTATTATCGTATTGATACCAATACTGATCCTTGAAGCAATCTGAAAAATATATAGAAATGACTCACAAGTGAGTAAAGTAAACAGAAGATGGGGAATCCCAGAGTACCCACTTTCGCAGTTGGCCTTCTGCCAGAGGCTGGTGAGGATTCCCTGGGTGGTGGCCACGATGTTGATCCTGTCCGAGTTGAGATACCGCTTGGAGCAGTTGGCGTCCGCCAGGAGACTCTTGTAATCCTCGCTGAGATTCCGGTAGAGATCCTCGCAACCCAGACAAAGGTTCACGGGCACCGATTTCGTGGTGGCGCAGTAGATAAACTTGCTCTGTCCATCGCCCAGTTCCCCCAGCAGTTTCTCGCAGGTCTTGTTCTTCGGGCTGAGGGCCAGCAACAGGTTAAACTGGCAGCTGAGGGTTAAGAAAAACCCCACGAAAACAAAATATTTCGGCATGTTTTTGTTTTGGTTTGTTAGTGTCCAACCTATCGGTAGATGTATCGGTTTTTTTTATTCGATATCCACCCCGATAGGTTCTATCGGCCCTGCAAGTGTGACCACCTTTTGGGTATTAAGAACCGTACACAAAGAAGAAATAGTCTGGCAGCGCCGAAAATAAGGCGGGAAATTCAAATCAAGAAAATAGAGTAAAGTAAATACTCCGTTTTACTTAATAATAATATATAATTATATTTAGTTAAGAAATTTTTTTACTCATTCCAAGCCATATATTATTCTTCTTATACCTTTAAACCCTAAAATGTACAAGTTCAAAAATAGGTCAAGATGTTTACATTAAAATTAAGGTTCTTCCCCTGCAGCTGCTACCGCTGATTAATCTTAACTGCTGATCAAACCTTGAGCATTGTTTATCACTCCCTACAATAGCCAAAATTTTAATCTTTTATTGTGTAAAATCTGTAAACAAGCTTTCAATAAAATAATAATAAACCTTTAGAGTCCGCAAGATTAACTCAATGAAATCAAGGTAAGCGTGTCAGAAACAAATGATCTTAAAATATAAAATTGTTTAAGCAAAATAAGTTGAAATAATCTAAATGAATGACTGAAAGAATAAAATTACTTACGGAAGCAAAGAAAATAATGTTTTTTTTGTTTTTAAATGATTTATTTAAATTTTTAACCATTCAATTAACAATTTTTTCATGCAACATATTGTATTATTTTATGTCATTAGTGATTAGCCAAGTTGTCCATTTCAGCATCCTTCGCACCAACATTTTAGACTGGGGCTGCAGTGTCCACCGGATCGTCCTTCACTAATGCAAAACCTTTTACATTTTTCCTTTGACCAGACGTAACAGCCGCCCCTATATCTTCCAGAAAGACAGTCGACAGCATCGGTTTCTTTGGGTCCCAGACCGATCAGCATCAGGACAGCAAGAAAGGCAAATAGGATCTTGATTTGCATCATTTTTGGTATGATTTTTTGGAGATCTTTACGTTATGAGCGAAATGATATCTGTAACGATCCAAGAATTTTCAGAAGAGTTTATATACAGCCAGCGACGAAAACGTGTTGAAATTTATCACAAGAAAACAAAAGCAATTAACGTGAAGGAACAAATAAAACAATTCATTTTTCTCAAAAAAGATCTGTTTTTAATTTGAATAAAATGGAATATTTATCGAACTCTATTTAAATGTTATGTTTTTCTGTTTCATATTTATATATCAGTATGTTTGTAGAATAGTGCGTACAAGTCGATCGATTCAAGTGAACAAATATTTTAAATATTCTTTCAGCATCCTTCGCACCAACATTTAAGACTAGGGCTACAGTGACCACCCCTTCGTCCTTCACGAATGCAAGTATTTTTACATTTTTTATTTGACCACACGGGACAGGAGCCCCTAAATCTTCCAGAAAGACAGTCGACAGCTTCGGTTTTATTAGGACCCAGAGCAATCATCATCAGGACAGCCAAGAAGGAAAACAGGACCTTGATTTGCATCATTTTTGGTAGGATTTTCGGAGATCTTTATGTTATGGAAAAAATTAGCTCTGTAACGAATCATCAATTCTCAGACTAATTTATATACGGCCAGCTACCTTGAATTGATCACAAAAAAAAAAAAAAAACCATTAACGATTCCGGTATAATAGACCTTATATCATACCAAAATAAAATGAATAAAACAATACATTTTTCTCAATAAAGATCTGCTTTTAATTTGAATAAAATGGAATATTTATATAACTCTTTCTTTAAATGTTCTGTTTTTCTGATTCATACATATGTGTATGTTGGTTATTTTTTCTTTTTTTTGGAAAGTAATATTTTGATATCCTGATTCAGCATCCTTCGCACCAGCACTGCAGCCTGGCACTGCAATGACCACTGAGTCGTCTTTCTTCCCTGCAAATTCGACGGCAGGTCTCGTTGTCCCAGACTGCACAAGGTCCTCGATATCTTCCAGAAAGACAGTCCACAGCTTCGGTTTCCTTGGGTCCCAGGACAACCAGCATCAGGATTGCAAAGAGGGCGAACAAGTACTTGATTTGCATCATTTTTAAAAGTTTTTAGGATGTGTTTAGATATGTTATTAACCAAAGATCCGTATTGAATTAGTGTTTAACCGAATTTGGATGATCTTATATAGTGCCGGATTTTTCAAAAACTCTATAAGTCCGTAAATTTATATATTGATTAAAATCAAAAATGAACAATAGATTCGATTTTTTTAAAATTATATTGTGTTCAGTTAACAAAAAAGTGATTGTTATTGAAAATAATCAATGAACTTCCACACGAATTCGGCTTTTTCGGCCCTATATAAGTTTATCCACAAGCTGTTGAAAGCATATTCGATACGATTCTCAATTGGTTAACATCATATCTTAACTAAAACTACCGAAAATGTTGCAAATCAAGTACTTGTTCGCCCTCTTCGCTATTTTGATGCTAGTTGTTCTGGGACCCCAAGAATCCGATGCTGTCGACTGTCTTTCCAGAAGATTTCGAGGTCCTTGTGCCGTCTGGGATTGGGAGAGGTGCCGTCGAATTTGCAGGGAAGAAGAAAGACGACTCAGTGGTCATTGCAGTGCCAGACTGCAATGCTGGTGCGAAGGATGCTGAGTCAGGACATAAAAATATTTCTTTAAAAAAAATTGAGTTTCTAAACAAATAAATAAATATTTTTCAAGGCACATCCTTTTTTATTTTGTCGATTGCCGAAAAGAGTGTTATAATGCAGGGGAGTCAGAAAAGTCGTAAAACCCTGGCTTGGATGATTCAACATACTCAAGATTGCTATATCGCTAAATGTTCTGACAAACAGCTGAACAAAAAAATCAACGATTCAAGGGTTCAGGTGCGGCTTTAAACTTTGTTCTCAAAATATCGGTCGGTTTTCTTCTGGTAAATTTCAAATGTAAGCAGTAATGTTTTTTTTTTATTTCTTAATTCTTAAAAAGCTGATTCATTTTGCATCATCCTACTAATTCAAAAGTAAAGCTAATTCACTTTGGTTATGTTAAACTTTTCTAACCAATCTTAAAATAAATATACCTTTGATTGGAAGTGAACAAAAATCGCTGTATATTTAGCTTTTACGGTTTCCGAGATGTAAAATTTAAAGATAACTGACAGCAAAATGAAAGTACTTTTTTTCGCGAAGTTGAATTTAAAATGAAATTTTATCCGTACTAAATTCAGACTTTGAATGGTCTTATATAGGACCATAAGCCTGTTTCGCTGCCAGCGACGATCGCAGTCGTGGTGAATTTCATTATTAAAATGCATTTATTTGTTATTTAAGAATTTAGGCTGGACCGCTTTAAAATTCGAGACAAAAACAACAGCAATTGTAGTATTTTAATATTACATTTCAATGAAATTTTAATTCTTACTTTTTATTACCTGAATACATTTTAGGTAACTATATTTTATGATATTTTATTTGCTATCCTGATGCTGGTTGTCCTGGGACCCAAGGAAACCGATGCTGCCAAGTGTCTTTCTAAACGGTTTAAAGGACCTTGTGCCGTCTGGGACACTGAGACCTGCCGACGACTTTGCAAGGAAGAAAATCGACTCGATGGAGAATGTACTGCCAGACTTCAGTGCTGGTGCCAAGGATGCTGAATAAGAATTGAAATATTTCTTCACAAAAATTGAGTTTGTAAATAAATAAATACATATTTTGGTAAAGAAATCACTAATTTGTTTTATTTTATTATTATTGTTACTACATGGTGCACTTTATGAAGTAGGAATCCATTTATTCTACCTATTACATACTTTTCTTCAATATTGTTTGTCTGGAGGAGCGTTTATAAAAATGAAGAGAATTAGAACTAGTGAAACTCTTAGCCCAACTAAGTACTAGGCTAATTTAATATAATGATTATAATACTTATACTTATAAGTTATAGTACATTTGTGCTTTTTTCATTCATTATAACTAGCACAAAGTATCGATTCATATTTGTTTAAAAATGAATCATCGATAAGAAAGTACCCGCCTCAAAAAATACCAAAAGAAATGAAAATTCACTAAAAAATCTCAAACGAAATAGTCAACGGTTCAAACGTGGTTGCGCGGATCGGCAAACTTTATAGCCAGTTTTTTTCAGATCGGCGAATTGACAAGACGTGCGCGGTGTAACAAAAAAGCGGTTTGCTAACAACTCAAAAAGAAATAAAACGCCGTGCAAAAAAGAAACAAGAAGCGAGAGCCATTTAGTAAAACGTAATCAGCGCTCCAATTCTTCCCCTCTCTTTCTCGCATTCTCGCTCTCTTAAGCCGCTCTTATTGTGGTTGTTCTTGCTGTAGTTTCTGTGCTAATTAGAAAATTCCAGTTGTTGTTGTTGCGCCGGTGTTTAAAACGCGGCTATATCTAATTACTGCCCCAAAAAAAAGAGAAAAAAACCCACTAAGCTGGTTTTTGCGTGTGAAAGCAACTGGTGTGCATTGGAATTTGTTATTAAGATTAAGGTCGAGAAGCAGCAGCAACAAGTGACAAAAATTCTTTGGCATAAATTAAAACAGAATCTCCCAAAAGCTGGAGAGCTGAAAAACGCTAAGATTTCTTTTGGATTTAACACTTTTTCGGCTTGTGTTTTTGTAACCAAAAGAACGCCGCTTATGGTCGAACAACAAAAACAACTTTCCGGTTTTTCTCCTCCTCCGTTCCCTCCCCATTCTCCTCCTCCACCATTCCTTCTCCTCCTCCTGTTCGCGATCTCTTATTTTTTATAACCATCTTCGTCTGCATCTTTCGATTTTTGAGTGTGTGTGTGTTTGTGTGTGAATAAGAAGAGAGGCGAAAGGAGGAGAAAGATCGTAGTGAAAACAGTCGGCGAAAAACAAATAAATACGGGAATTTATGTTAATTGCAGCCAGCTAAACAAGAAGAAGAAGAAGCAGGAGGAGGCATCCAGATCCAGAAATCTGGATATTTACATAGTTTTTTCGTGCGCCAGGATATTAACGTAAATCATTCACGCTGGATTTGGGATACTACGAGGCTGTCAAAGGTAAGCGAAAAAAAAGAAGAACAACAAAAAAACCAAACCGGAATGGTCAAGTGTATGGGGAAGAGAGAAGATCGTTAAAAAAATATGGGATGTTTTACGGTCCGATGCTCCACTTTATAAGCCAATAAACCCGGCTAGGCGTTGCATAATAATATCGCCAGGGCTCCCAAACTGTAAACGGTAAAGGGCATTCCCGATCACTCTGACGATCTTCCATCCACTCACTTAACTTACTACCAATCCATTGTGGTCAAGTTGCGTGCGAACAGGTCGTAAAAATTGCCAAGCTGTCATATACAGTCAGGACAGTCAAGACTGGCTAAAGGGAACTAGGAGTAAAATTTATAAAAAATATAAAAATAATATATAATATTAAACTCGGTATCATAATTTTAAGAAGTTCAAAAAATGTTTTTTATATATATTTTTTATGATTTTTTTTTTAATATATGAAGAAATAAACAAGATGATGATTAGAATTCCTTCATATCAATTTTATGTTATAAGGATATATTCTTGTTAACAAAGATACTATTAAAACAGTTATTTTTATAGAGGTTGCCCTGTAGTTCTTGTGTAAATTAGCATAACGAGGGTATGGTTATGGGGATTCCCTCCCCCTTTTCGCCCCCCGCACGCTCTCTTTGGGCACAGGTGTCTGCCTCTAAACCAGGCTCTCTTTTTCTTCTGTTCTGTGTGTTGTTGGCCACTCGTAAACTAGGCTAAATAGGGCCTAAGCCAAAGCACGTTTTGGAAACCCCCCACGGACCCCTCAATCCTCCACAGTCTTGCTGTCTCGCTCTGGGCTTGGTTTATTTTTAAACCGCATTCCGCCCGGGCAGTTGCCATCTCGCTCGCTCATTAACAATTCTGCGGCACCGTTAAGCTTGAAAGTTTGAGAGCCACTGTGTCTCTGAACCGTGATTTGCAAAGTGCAATGGCAATAAATGCATTCGCAAGACAATTGCCGTTTAAATTCAATTACACTTAACGGGTCAGCCAAGAGGCCAACGACTATCAACAAGGCCAAGTCTTCGTCTGCGAGTCGTTAAGGAGAAAGGAGAAGAGAGTGGCGAAAGAGGTCCAAAAGCGGAGAGGGGGAAATGCCAACGCCCCCAATGCAGCAGCCCATTTCCATTTTACATACAGTTGCGGGCATCTCGATAATCACACCAATAAATGTGCTCTAATATTTCAAATTAACCTATTAAATGTTATTGGCTAGTGATTAAAACAGTTTTATAATGATAAAATTGTTTATCGGTTGTAAACAAGGTGGTGTTATAATAAAACATAGTTAAATTAATTTAAGAAAGAAATAAATGCAGGTCTTTTCACCATTTATAAGAAAATGTATAAAGTAGAACTTGTTTGTTTGTATTATAAATTATAGTTCTTGATTTTCTATTGTTTTTATATAAGGAGTTTTTAATTTTTCTCATATATGTTAGTCTGCAAAATGATAAAAATCTTAAATAGTCAATATATACAAATAGAACTCCACTATTTTGACCCCAGGTGTCCGAATGTGTAAACAGATTCCGAGATCTCTGCAGGAAAAGTGCAGCGACAGCAATAGGCAGCAGTGACTCTCAAACTGCAGCGATCTACAATTCCTAGTGGAGACCCAGTTGGTCCATTTTTGAATTCTTTTTACATTCCCCTTTGAAAAACCCCACACAAATATACAAAATGCACATGGACTTGTGTTTATATCTTTGCATTTTGTTGTTGTTTTTTCCAATTAGATGTCTGCACTGCAGCTGGGCGGTGCTGTTGCACTCTTATTGGAGTTTTTACTGCGGCGTTCTTTGGCATTTTGCGCAATTTGTGCGCTGTACTTGTACATTTGTTGTTGTTTCATTTCAAGTTCCCTTTCCCCTTTTTTACCACTATAAAACTATGCATAAACCCATTCAAAATCGGCCAAAGAGTCAATCAATCACGGCTTTATTTCGGTAACACACCGCCTGCCCATCAATCAAAGGCCATAAAGCGAATTTAGAACGAACTTTTGTGATTTTACGAAATGTGCCTTATCGCCATGTCAGCATATATAAAAGGTGTACAGTTTAGTTTACTTAAATGGAACTTTTTTATACATAACATTTTTTTTTAATAATGACAATATTTTGTATTCATTTAATTTTAAAACTGGTATCGAATAGATTTTTAAAAATACTTCTATTATTTTACATTTCTTTCATTGCATTAGGCAATCCCAACTGTATTTGGAACTTTGATCATTTTCGAGTGGGAATATCAAATCAAAGGGACTGGACTGAATCATAAAGATAAAAGCAATTGCTCGAGTGCAAGTGATTGGGGGAGTTGTAATTACCCTTTAATTAAATGAAAGGCCGCTGCAGTTAATGGCAATTGACTTGCTGAACTCGATTCTTGAGAGGAACTGACTGACTGTCCCTCCACCGATCCTCTGTTTCAGTTGACAATGTCAAATGCATGCTTTCAATATTATTTAACCCATTTGCGCTTATCTCTGGGTGCAAGTCCAACATCATTGATTGTGAATAATCTATTCAAAAAAGCAGTAAAAATAACTTATGTCACTTGCCAAATTGATAACAAATGGACAA